AATAGATAAGGAACAGCGGAAGAGAAAGATCATTCCACCCTCCGAATGAATCTAGCGCTGCATCTAAATGCACCGTTGAGCGGTTTAGCAAACACAGCAGTATTACTTTTCCCACACACGGCTGAACAAGCTAATGTCACAGCGGCTGGAATGTAAATACATCATTAAAGTCTGAGTTTAGTGGCTTCCACAAACACTGACAGCAGCAACTGTAAAAGCAATTTCCATCCATTGTGAGTCCTCTTCAGTCTCTCTCTCTACCTCACACACACACACACACACACACACACACACACACACACACACACACAAACACACACACACACATGCAATCCCTCCTCCTCTGCCTCCTCGATGCCTTTTGTTATTTTTTCATATTGTGAATTTATCTGATGGTTGGGGACGGCGGTGCAGGCAAGGTTGGAGCACTGTGAGCTCGCTCACAAAGACTGATGAATGAGGGGTGTCGCTGGCTGTTGGGAGAGGAGAGTAGCTTTAATATGTCATTGGAGAGGAGGGCAGGGAGGAGCAGGGTGGGAAGATATGTGGAGGGATGGTGTGTGGCGGGGAGGGGACCGTCGGGCACGCAGAAGAGTGATGGCCGAGGAGGTCGCAAAGCGACTGCCTTGGGGAAACAAAGGCTCTCCTTTTCTGCGCGTCGCTGACTGTACGATCACACATTCAGGCGGGGCTAATAGCTGCCTACATCCTCTGTGTGTGCATCTGCATCAGCTGGGAGTGTTCTTGTTCTGTGCTTATATTTAGAAATTAGCACGGACGTAGCTGCAGTGTTATCCTCTTTGGAAGAGGGAGTGTCTCAGAAACTAATGACAGAGATGTGAGAGCAAAAGGAAGAGCATCAGCAAATGAATAAAACAGCCTTTTTAATGGAGACCATAAAAACAGCACATATGGAAATGATTGCAGGGTGAAAACTTGATGCACCAAGCATCAGGTTTGGTGGGTTTTTCTGTGTATTATTTAATTAATGTTGCAAATGTTATATGTGCAAAAGAATGAACATCCCTCAGCAGTTTAGCTGCTTTTCAGCTTCAGCAAAATCATGATGCATGATTGTGGTCAGAGGTCTGGCACGCGGCTCTAGGGAACATCCAGAAGTCCTCGCTTTGTGTGAGACAGATTATTCAGTTCCAAGTGGTGCCGCGTTTGCGTCGGTCCGACAGCAGACGGTCTAAGATTAAGCCACACTTGCACTTTTTCACAAGTTCTGGACGTGCCTGAAACTACTGAGATACTGGGGGCCTAGTTTTGATGCACCCTCCAAAATGAGAGGGACCGCCCAAACCCTTTGATCGCTTTAGAAATGGTTGAGGTGGATTTTGTTTTTTTGGACACATGCCAGTTGGACATGATCGCCTTTTGTTCCTTATTGGCTCAGAGACTCATTCTGTCCAGGTGGAAACTCATCAGCCACCGTACGGTCACGGGCTCAGTGACATCACGACCCGCGTCCACCTGGAGAACATTAGACACGTTTAAAGGGCTCAGCAGAAATTGTAATGGTATTTGGTCATCGTGTATGTTTTATTTTGAAAATGTACCAGTTGATAATTTTTTCTGATTGTTTCTTTATTTTCGTTTTTATGGTAGATGAATTTTTACGTCTAGTTTTGGTCTTATTTGTTTTTTTATTTGTCTTGTTGAGTTAGAGCCGGTGTAACGGGCTGGGTGCTGCTTCTAATCGGTTCTATTTAAACATATTAGTAGATAGATTAATAAAAAGACCTTGTTCAAAAAATAATAATACGACGCACACGACCAAAAACCATAATCCTTCTAGTATCTTCATCTTTCTTTCAACAAATGCAACAATATCCAAACCACAAGACACGATACGTCACAACATGATCCTCACTCTTTGATATTTATTGTGATATTGTGGGGAGGCTCACAATAACAGGACTCACAACATACAAGGCTTTGACCGGTCATTCGTAAATTTGTCATTGACTTTATTAAAATGATGTTTTTATAGTTTTTCTGCTGAAGAGGCATTTTCAGAGCCTTTCTACACCCCACCACGGTCAGGTGGACGTGCCTTCACAGGGAGTGAGGCTAACAGCGGTATCCGATTCAAAGTCATCAGTTCAGCAAACACACACGTGTTTAGACTGAAAACTCCCACAGAGGCACTAAAACACACACACACACACACACACACACACACACACACACACACACACACACACACACACACACACACACACACACACACACACACACACACACACACACACACACACACACACACACGCAGAGCGCTGACCGGCAGGTTCTCCTCACACCGTGACAACTCTACTTTTATGATTTCACAGACAAACCCAGAAACCTCCCAGCCTCGTGTCTAATTCGTTAAACTTTCACATTTCAATCTTCCTGAGAGGAAACCAGAGAATCGGGCTGGAGGCGAGCTCCTGCAATCATCCATCTGTTATCATTTAAAAAAAGCCTCAAACCAATATTACCATGTGAGCAGCAATTAAAAGGCTCGCTTTCAGCCTCCTGCAGCTCCGGAGTTCAGAGAACAAGGGAGATAACAAAACGCGTCTTTCCTTGCGAGATACGTCCTCACAGGGACTGAGTCAGAGTTTTGTCTATCAGCTCCTCTCTGATTGAATTTTCAACAGATCACCGTGACAGATTCGTCCCCCAAATGAAAGACTCATTTTGTTACATAAGTTCCAGGCCGCCAGGCATCGCTAGCCGAGCTGAGGGATCTTTATTAGACCGTCTTAATTACATGCAAAGGAGTCATATTTATGAGACGTATTTATAGGTACAAGCCATATCCTATTAAATTCACTGAGCAGTTCTGGTAAAAGAGGATCGTCTCAGTGTCTGTACCTTTCGTTTCTGTGGTTTCTTTTTCAATGCAGCAGCCAAAACTCAGCAACTCCCTCCCTGGATAAGTGTTATTATCTTCATCGATGCCCCGCTTCCTTTTCACAAAACCCCAACTAACAAACAAACAAAGTCCCTGCTTACTTTAAGAATGCTGTAATCCACCCGCTTCTTAAAAAACCGAGTCTCGACCCCTCTCTCTATAGCAGCTTCAGACCCATCTCTAAACTTCCGTTCATCTCCCAGATCTTGGAAAAGGTTGTGGCTAAACAACTCACAGCTGCTCTTGATGAACATAACATCTATGATAGCTTCCAGTCGGGTTTTCGTAGAGCTCATTCTACTGAAACAGCTCTTCTTAGGGTCTCTAATGACCTTCTGACTCACAGTGATGCAGGGGACTGTTCTGTTCTGGTCCTGCTGGACATGACTGCAGCCTTTGACACTGGTGACTATCACCTGCTACTGGAGAGGCTCAGAGACTAGGTAGGCCTATCAGGATCTGCTCTGGAGTGGTTCTCCTCTCATCTGTCTGAGCGTTCCTTCTCTGTGGCCGTCTCCAAGTTTAGGTCCTCTACCACCTCCCTTACACATGGTGTCCCACAAGGTTCTGTGCTGGGGCCTCTGCTCTTCCTCCTCTATCTGTTTCCTCTTCAGCACATCCTGAGCTCCTTCAAAGGAATCTCCTACCATCTTTATGCAGATGACATCCAACTGTACATCTCCTTTAGGCCCCATGAGATGTCTAAGCTGCAGCTGTTACACACCTGCTTAGACTCTATCAAAACCTGGATGGCTGGGAGCTTTCTTCAGCTGAATGAAGATAAGACTGAGATCCTCATCTGTGCCCCAGACAAGCTGGTTCCCAAAGTCAGAGACTCTCTTGGTCAGCTTGCTTCTCACACCAAACCTTCCGTCAGGAATCTTGGTGTGACCTTTGACCCAGCTCTCACCCTGGATTCTCATGTCAGTTCTCTTGTTCGCCCTTCCTTCTTCCATCTCAGGAACATTGCTAAGCTGAGTCCCATTCTGTCCCGCTCTGAACTTGAGACAGTTCTCCACACCTTCATCTCCTCACGCTTAGACTACTGTAACTCTCTTTTCACGTGTCTGAGCAGAACCTCCCTGAACCGTCTACAGGTGGTTCAGAATGCCTGTGCTCGGCTTCTGACCAAGTCCTCCAAACACACCCACATCACCCCGCTTGTCCTCCAGCTTCACTGGCTGCCAGTCAACTTCAGGGTTCATTTCAAGATCCTGGTTCTGGTCTATAGGGCCTTACATGGACAAGCACCATCTTACATTGGTGATCTTCTTAGTCCCTACACCCCCAGCAGGTCCCTGAGGTCCAGTGATCAAAGCCTACTGGTTGTGCAGCACCAGGCTAAAGACCAAAGGTGACAGATCATTTGCTGCTGTGGCCCCCAGACTCTGGAACTCTCTCCCCCTGAGCCTGAGATCAGTGGACTCAGTGGTCTCCTTTAAAAGCAGCTGAAGACTCACTTGTTCAAGCTGGCTTTTGTATGACCTTCTTCACCACTCTCTCTTTATTCTGCTCTCCCCACCTATTCCACCTTCCTCAGGATCCACTGATTTCCCTTTTTCCTATTCACTCTCTCTCTTTCTTAACATTTTTTTAATTACAATTGTCTATTTTTTGCAAATTTATAATGTATTTTTAAAGATTTTCAAATTTTTTTTTTACGTTTTTACATTTTTTGTTTTTGTGAAGCGCCTCGTGATTTTTATCTTGAGAGGCGCTATAGAAATTATATTTTCTTCTTCTTCTTGAAAAAGAAACAGTACGATTTAGAGCCAATGCAGATGAAAGCTTTCCTGCGGGGGATTTATGTTTCTGCAGAAAAAAGGAATCGATCACACACAAAAAAGTATTTTGTTGAGCTTCACTGGTTTTAGACATAACTTGTGTTTGTTTCTGAGGGGCCGTATTTATTCTGAATTACTCAATAAGTTCACCACTGTGAGACGCAGATGTTTAGCTCTACGTTTTTAGGATTAAATGAGTAAAAAAAAGTCACAAATTACAACAAAAATAACGCTTTGTTGCCGTGTTCCAGCTGATTAAACCAAAATGAGCCAGAAGACGCACAGATATTTTCTCTAAGGTGGAGGCTCACCTGCACACTTGGTTCGGCTCACGAGAGGAGGTCCAGGAGGGCCGGTCCCGCCTTCACCGGGCCGGGTTAGCAGAACGCTCATGTGGTATTCTGTGTCTGGATCCAGGTGCCACATCTTATAGGTGGCCATACTGACCACGTGCACCTCTGACCACGGTGACTGGCTGGCTCGGTACTCGATCTCCTTCCTGATGATGGGCCCGTCTCCCAGGATGGAGTTGGTGTTGAGTTGGATGATCAGGTAAGTGGAGCCGGCGCGCAGCAGCTGAGGCGGCGCAATGGGGGACGGAGGTACTGCCAAAGACAGAGAGGAGAGTTTTCATCTCTGTTCATAGCTGCAGAAGTTCTGCTTTAAATGGAATTGAACCGTCACATGAAGTCACATGTCTTGTTCCTGAGGTCAGAATGTGACCCCGGCATAAGTCTGAGCTAAAAAGCAGTGAGTGAATGGAACAGCTGTGCATCAAACACAGCAAACGGCGTGATGAAGCGCTCCCCTCTTCCTGTCCTCCTGGCCGCTCGCCGTGATGAAACGGCCGACTCGGCATCGCTGTCAGACGAGATTTTCAAACTGAGAATTTCACTCAGGAGCCGGCGGTCAAATGTCACTTACAGGCAGATCGATTCCACCGTGAGACTGAAGCACGGGACAAAAAGTACGAGGATGAAGACAAAGCGTGAGAAAAGATCGGAGTGAGATTTATGGCTGTGACTAATCCTCCATTCCTCTGGTTCCCTGTCCTCTCTGTGTGTGTGTGTGTGTGTTCATCATGACCAGAACCTCACCTCAGCGCCGTTCTGGCTCCTCTAGCCCACAGCAGCTCGCCTTTAGCTCGGCCGACAGCAGTCTCCCGGTTTGGAGCAAATCATTTATTCTACTTGGTATCAAACACACCAGAACCAGAAGCCACCATAAAAGCCAGAAGTGAATAAAAGAAAGATAAGAAAGATGATTTTAATTTAATGATGTGAACAAGCTGCTTTTAGCGCCAGGCCACGTCTTCGGCATTACTAAAACAATTAGACCAAACTCATTAAGGGGAGTGATGAGGCTCTTCTCAGCCGTGCAGCGGAGGGGAAATGTATTTATTAAGTTCCTGCTAAGACGCCTGCTGAGCTGAGCGTAGCTCCGCTGGCCGTCGTGTCGGTGCAGCTTTCACACGAGGACCTCTGCTCTGAGCAGAGACTAAGAAATGTGCTTTCCCTGCTTTGTTCCAGCGAATCCCCTCCTGGTTTGGTGATGGTTAAAGGGGTTTAGTGTGAATGCTCCTCTTGTTGTTGAGTCAGGTCTTCAGAAGGCTAAAACCAGCTCAGGCTGCTACAGTCACGGAACGGCACAACAGGACAGTAAACCCACTCGTATCACGCTTATAGACTGTTTAGGCAGCTTAGGTACTTAGTCTAATTTAATTAAATTTAATGTTTATTTAAATTCTCCAAGAGAAATGCACCCTCTAGCTGTCGGCTCTCCTCTGCATGCACCTAAGCCACCGATTGATCCACCAGTGAAGCGATAAGCATTGACAGCAACAGAGCTGAAACCCTTCTTGCCTGCGTGTTCTTCTGCATTGGCGTCAGCAGGAACCAACGGCGGAGGACAGGAAGACAGAGGACGTGTCACGTCCCTTATTTCCTGTTCTCATCCTCGCTTAGCTGAGGGCTGGAGTCGGTTACGCCATCAAGCCACGGCCGTGTCATTACTACGCTGTCAGAGTCGTGTCGGGCTGTTGGGTTGTGGTGAGTAATGAGAGTGAGGTCACATCTGTGGTTCGTGACATGACAGCGGCTGGAGCGGTCCAAGACCAGCGAGCAGCTCTGTGACAGAGAGCAGCCCAAGATGGCAGCGTGTTTGACAACTTCAGCTCGGGAGAAAACCCGTGCCAGGAGCAGGCGCTCAATCTAAACACGGGTCGGGACGCTTGTGATGAGGAGATCTTCTGTAAGTAAATTACACAAAAAGGGCTTCTGACTCAGAGTCATGCTGTGAATTCTGATCATGCAGTGACCCAGAGGCACTGCCTCGAGGAGGCCTACGCGTGGCCACGAGAAAACTAAACGGGATGGAGAAAAGAAATATTTTACCTTTCACGACCAGCTCAGCGAAGTTGGAGACCCCTGAGCCCCTAGGGGACTGAGTAACGCAGCGGTAAAGGTCCTGATCAGATCGCTGGACGCCGTCTAGCTGAAAAGACACAATGAAGCGCCGATGGCTCAGGTGCTTGACCGCCGCCATTGTTAAAAGGTCTCCGTTGTGTCTCTGGAAAGAAATAACAGACGGGGTCAGAGAGAACAGGACGGGTCCTCAAATATCCCTCCATCAGGGATAGGTCATGTCATACCACACACACACACACACACACACACACACACACACACACACACACACACAAGAATGTACCGTAGAAACTTTATGACGACAGACTTTTTTATCCGTTTCATGAAAACTGAATTATTAGATTCATTCATGACGAAATAACTAAAGTTATGAAGCCGTTTTCGTACACTTTTTCTGTCTGTGTGATAAATACACACACCTCCTAAAATCAGTGGAAGCCCGATTCTACCCACAGGCTAACTCACTCTCACTGTAAGTCATAAAAAAGGTGGCCTGTCCCTTTAAATTCTGAAGCTAACTGAAGACTTGATCACTAATTTCTTCTGGAGCCGTACTTATTGTTTAGCTGATGTCCAGGAATGATTTCTTCTATCTTTCCCAAGTTTCCGTCTGTATTTGTTCTTAGAAAAGTGAACGTTGTGGTAAAAGGATCTGTGCTGAAAACTGTGTTCAGCAGATGTTTGACTTCAGATGTCGTATCAGCTGATTGTAGCTCTAGTCCAGCTCTCCTTTGCTCTGGTATCAGGTGGGGTTTGTTATCTTTAGGGATGTCTGTAGACGTTAGAGATGTAAAGCCCGAGCCCTTTGGATGGATTTACAGACCTGCACATGCTCAGTGTGGTTGCACCGGGGTAGAAGTTTAGAGAAATAATTCTCTAAGCATTTGTTTTAGTAAATATTAAATCTGATGCATGTACTGCAGGACATTTTTACAGCGTACAACTCTTCTTCTGCTGCCACTTCTGTAGAACGGTGCTCTGATCTGCAGCAGCTGCTGGCGTCGCCCACAGACCGGAGGTACGCAACCCCAGTAGGGAGGTACCGTCACGGCCCGCATGTTTGTGCTTTGTTTGATGGACTAAGTCCCGTACGTGATCATGCTTAAGCCCGTCTCTCACTTGGCTGTGACTGTTGTCAAGTTCACTTTTAACTGCTTTCTACAGCAAATGATCTCATGTCTCAATTTGTCTGCCAGTTTAGAACCAGCACGTCTAGAGCCTTTACATCTATGTGTTAATGCATGAGTGTATGTGAAGAATAATCTCCTGGGCACAATAAAGGTCTCTATCTATCTATCTATCTATCTATCTATCTATCTATCTATCTATCTATCTATCTATCTATCTATCTATCTATCTATCTATCTATCTATCTATCTATCTATCTATCTATCTATCTATCTATCTATCCATCTATCCATCTATCCATCCATCCATCCATCCATCCTTCCATCGACCTACCCACCCACCTAGGCTTTAGTTGACATCTTTTAAAATGCACTGTATTGTTTACAGTGCAGCTGCTCCTTTCTCCACTTCTGCACCGTCTCATTCTGTTTGCTAATTGCCTCTCAGCTGTTGTTCACTCATTAGTCTGCCCAGTACACATCACGCCCGCTTATCTTTGTTCCCTGACAGTTCCTCGTTGATGCCTTGACCCGTTCATTTGTGTCTGCTCAGTGATTCACAATCATTTAAAGCTTCAGATCTGACTTCAGTCGGTGTAAGGTAAGTTTAATTAAACGCTTCAATTTAGGTCTCACGACTCTCCAGCTACCGTCCCGCCATTGTTCCCTCTTGTCATGGCAATACTGACCATGTTCACACACACACACACACACACACACACACACACACACACACACACACACACACACACAACCACACACACACACACACACACACACACACACACACATACACACACACACACACTACTTATTTCTGTAACACTTGTACACATTTATTACCCGGTGAACTCCAGAGACTCTAAGTTAATAATGTAACAAAGCACCCTCCACTTATTGTCATTGTTCGTATTAAAGCAGTGTGATTAATAAGAGTTGTCCAATTAGGTAGAATTTAATTAGGAATGTTGGGCCATCTAGCTGATTAAATCTTGGAACCTGACAATCAAGGATCCTTCAGTAAATACACATGAATCCTTGTTAAAATGACACTGATGGTGAGAGTGATGCAGCCCATCTACGCACCCAGTCACCCTCTACACGCTACGGTGAGACAGATGATGCTTGATGCATCGAGGTTTAATCAGTCCAGGCCAACAGAGGAGTTTGGTCATTCTTTCAATTCAATTCAAGTTTATTTATATAGCGCCAAATCACGACAAGAGTCGTCTCAAGGCACTTCACATAATAAACATTCCAATTCAGGTCAGTTCATTAAGCCAATCAGAAATAATGTTTCCTATAAAAGGAACCCAGCAAACTGCATCAAGACACTGACTAGTGTCAGTGTCTTTACAGCAATCCTCATACTAAGCAAGCATGCAGCGACTGTGGAGAGGAAAACTCCCTTTTAACAGGAAGAAACCTCCAGAGAATCCTGGCTCAGTATAAGCAGCCATCCTCCACGACTCGCTGGGGATCGAGAAGACAGAGCACACACACACACACACACACACACACACACACACACACACACACACACACACACACACACACACACACACACGCGCGCACACGCACACACACAAGCGCGCGCGCACACACACACACACACACACGCACACACACACACACACACACACACGCACGCACGCACACACACACACAAGCACACGCACGCACACACACACACACAAGCACACGCACGCACGCACACACACACACACACACACGCGCACACACACACACACACACACTCAAAGACAAAGTAATGTGTCTATAGTTATATTGTGATTTCTTAGTAAATATTCTGATTTGGTGAGAGATAAACTTTATTGTATTTATCCTAGTGGATCTATAATTAAACGGATAAACTAGTAGTAGCACATCCAACGTCAAGGAAAGCAAAAAGTTATTATCAGGAAGAGGAATTGTGGCTCTTTGGGCAACAATTAAAGGATTTAAAGGCAGGAATGAAAAAGGAAAACTGGACGTGCAAACATTGTGTTTGACCTTGTTGTTGTGGTGTGAGGCCATTTCTCACATTGTTCCACACCATTAAAACCAGCAATATTTGTCAGGCAGGTCAGTGTCACACACACATACGCATGCACACACACACACACACACGCGCTCTGATGTTCTTTCTCGTGTTTTCAGGCTAAACTCTCATTGGTGTGAAAGAGCTGCGTATGAATTCTGATACTTTTTGATCGTTTGGTTTTCGGCACAAGCCAAAGTGTGTCAGCATGCTGGGATCAGCGGGGAAACCTTTGGGTTACGCCGGGTAATCCCAGCTGCTGCTCTACTACTGAATTGAGTCTGTTCAGATGAAAAAGTAAATAAAAAAATACCACAAACCACACAAACCTCAGGCCCCAGCTTTGTAAACAAACACAAACACACACCCACTGATTGGGGTTAAGCAGGAAGCAAATCTTGCAGCCGCAGGAATTTTTTTAAGGCTTACTCGCACCCTTTCGTATCCCTTCTACATCTTTTATATCTTTCAGATCTCCGTTTTTTTGCCACCTAGCTTGTGGATTACAGAACCGAGCCACGACAAATCAGGGTAAATCAAATAAGCGTGAGATCACTTCATGTTATCAAAACAATCTGGCTGTGGTTAATTGGCAAGGAAATGACTAAACGATCTGCTAATCTGGCAGGCGTGTGCAGCCAACACTGCTCTGCAGCTGTTACAGTAAACACGACGCAAAAGCACGCAGATCTGAGTTCTTATTATGAAAACACCTAAGTGAAGGTGGTGCAGACTGCTGAAGGTAGAAGACGAGGAGGAAAAGAGCCTTTGTGGTGCCTGGGTATCTCGTTACAGCAGACACGTGTATGGGCATGCCAGCTAATTACCCAAAACATTTGTCTTCTTCCTCATGTTGCAACAAAACGGGTGGTGGTTCAAGGACGTGTGAACGAGGACTCTTCCAATGACCTAAATCACACACCGCCTAGTTTTAAACAAAACAGTGGGCTGGCCCAGGTCGGCCATGCTGAACGCCGGCGGCTGGGGGAGGTAAGATCCCTGCAGCCGAACACGAGCGCCTGCAGGAAGAGAGCGACAGAAGCAAACTACAGCTTGACATTTGGGTCTTTAACGGAGCCCACGTGAGGAATCGGATTCACCAGAGCTGCATGGACCCACCTGACCTTCACAGAACCTTTGATCTTCCAAATTCAATGAAGAAGAATCTGAAAACAGGCAGCCATCTTTAACGTCATTATTTTTCTCACTGATGGAGGCCTGCGCGGCTCCACGTGTGCTCACGAACCAGCGTTTCTGTTTGAAGTGACAGTTTCCATTTCTGTTTGGAAAGTGGATCAAAGAAGAGCAATAACTAAAGAGTAGGGCTGCAACAAACGATTATTTGGATAATCGATTAATCGGATGGGGTCTCGACACGATTAATCGATTAATCGGATTACATGGGGAAATTTTTAAAAACTGCTTGGGAAACGTTATTTCTCTCCTTCCTTCACTTTATTTAACACAACATTATTAGAAAACAGTTCAATAGCAGAAAAACAACATGCCATCACCTAAATTGTCTTATAAGGTGTATAGACAGAGACCCTAAGCTACATCTATCTGTGACCTAAAATGCTTGGTCCAAGTTAAACAGCTTAAGGGCAATTCTCATCTGTTTTGTTTGATCTCATCTGTTAATATTTATTTTAAATGTAATTAAACATAGGCTGTGAATTAATCAAAATTGATCACTATTTCCAAAACTGACTGAAAAAATACCAAATAAAACAAAAGTAAATGAATACCATCCTCCTTGCGATGATGCCCTGGGCAACTGCCATAAAGTCACATCAAGAAATGCTGCTGATCATTCCAATGATCCCAAATAGACTCACATTAGGCCACATGAAAGCAACTGAACCCAAAAATATATTAACCAGTATATAACTGCACTCTCACACAACACACCTGCAGCAACAGTTAGGACTCCTCCCTCCCTTTTAAAAGCGTTTTTGCTTCTGAGGACATTGTGGTTGTAAAACCACATGCTAGTAGTCTGGCCCCGGTGTGATCAACCAGTTTCAGCGGGAATGTGACGGCGGAACCAGGGCCAGATTAACACTTTGTTGTACCCTGGGCAACAATATTCAAGGGCTCCATCATCACGACCCAAGGATCACCATAATGTGGTCACATACAGAATATTTTACTGTAATATGCAGTAAATATACTCAATACTTGAATGCCTGACAACACGTAACCCGCCCAGAGTAACCTTTGACCCACCTCGTGTGGACTGACCAATGAGGAGAGGGTCTTAACTTGAGGCCCTCTCTTCATTGGTCAGTCTGCATGAGACTGACTCTCAACTGACATTCAGTCGTAGGCAGCGAAGCGTCTCTGTGCAGCGCAAAAGCCCGGGTGGACAGTTTGTTTAATATAGGGTGACCATATTTCCATTTCCAAACAAGAGGACAGGGGATCTGTGCCTATGACGTCACACTATGGCAACGCCACACAAACCATGTTGGGACCCATTTTTTGTAAGAACTAAATTAATATCAGATTCTGCCAATTAAAGGGCTCTAAAACTATTCATATGTAAATATTTTGCATATTTAATGCAAAATCTAATTTTTCTGCTTCAGTGCTGCAACAAGGTTTTATTAATAATAAATTATTATACCTTTTGTTTTACTACAGCATCGGTAAGCTTCCTGTGCACAGATTATCAAGGATGCTTGTTTCAGCTGTGAGATTAGACGATAGGATCAATGAAAAAATAAGTTGTCACACACTCCATGGAAACTTTCAGAGAATCCACAAATAGTGGCTTTCAAATGGTTTTGTTACTTTTTGCAAGTTTTTAAAAGAAGCAGATGAGACAGCGTGTCTGATAATTTAGTTTTTCATCTGATAATATTAGAACATGTCAGTAATGTTTGAGGGGTTTTTATAAACACCGTATAACTAACACTACTGGAGAGGGCATGAATTACACAGAGGCTTCTGGGGAGCCCAGTTATGGGGGGGGGGGGGGGGGGGGGGGCATTTTGTCTTGGCCCCAAAATGTCTTGAAACGGCCCTGGGTGTGTGACTGAGTTTTGAAGGTGATCTGAATTGTATCAGATGTATAAATATTACATGTGTATAACTTATTGTTTTTTACTGGTAAAAACGTGTAGTGGAGATAAATCTACCTACATTTTACTTTGTTTTCTTGTTTTTATTTAACTATTTTCCTGTCCTGTCTGTCTCTCATCTTCCTGCATCTCCTCATAATTCTCCAGAAAATCTGTTGCCTGGATTCTTACCTTTTCACCTCATCAGTTACTTTTGAGCAGATCAAATGGATCTCCTGACCGAAAAGCGCAGAGCGCGTTTTCGATGCTGCGTGAGGTGACATCACCACAGCAGAGGTGATGAGCTCCGCAGTAGCGAGCTTCAGGCACAAATAAGACAGAAAATAGAGAACATGTGCGGACATGAACGATCGTGTGCTAATTATAGTTTTTTGGTTGCGCCACTTTCAGAATGGACCGTGCGCTGGACGCAGCTGCCTGGATCGCTGCGCGACAATGCGGAACCGGTTCGCAGCAGCGCAAGTCTGCCGGCTCTCCCTCGCGCTGATCTGCCGGTACTGGCTCTCCCTCACGCTGATCTGCGGCTCTCCCTCGCGCTGATCTGCCGGCTCTCCCTCGCGCTGATCTGCGGCTCTCCCTCGCGCTGATCTGCGGCTCTCCCTCGCGCTGATCTGCCGGCTCTACCTCGCGCTGATCTGACTTGCTCTGGTCTGCGCGCAACGGCGGGCGGGAAGGGGGGGGGGGGGGGGGGGGGGCACTTTTGGAAGAGTTGTGCGACACAACGAATCGATGACGCAATTCGTTGCCAACGCTTTTAGTAATCGATTTTCATCGAATTTATCGATTCGTTGTTGCAGCCCTACTAAAGAGACAATGACTCCATAGACTCCAAACAACCAGCCACAAGATCAATACATGTCTGTAGGAGCTTTTCTGGGTTTTAGTATTTCACAGGAACCTGTGATCCGTTTCATACCCATCAGTTAGGGAACATTCTAGTGACTTAGGCATCTCCTCTGGGCTTTTTCTGGTTTGATTTGCAACTAAAGCCAGGAATTCATTTTGTTTAATTCTTTAAAGGCTGATGTTCAGTTTCTATAAAGATGCACATTTATGCGTTCCATAGGGATTGGTTCTGAGGTAGGGGCTGAAACAGCTGATGCAAACTGAGAGCTACAAACTGCTGCGAGAGCACATCTCCAGCAGGAAACCGCCCACATAAGCCCCCTTCAGACAGCCCATGAAAAACGGAAATGTTCCGGACTCTGTCCATAAGACCCTCGTGTCTGAATACAAACATCCGGATAACGTTTTCCGTAATTAAACCGGACGAAGCCACTAGTAACAGGGCCGGACTTGTTACGGACAAGGTGGCTGCTTCAGACTGGTGAGGTCGAGTTCCGGACAGGGAGGATGGGGAGGACGGGGAGGAGGAGGGGACCGGGGGACGCTGTGCACACCTAGATAGCTCGCTCCTGTAGCATGCGGCGAACCACGGCAGCTCGCCTCCTACGGTACCGTCTCCTAGACGCGCGACGGAGCGCTTCACACCGCTTCCGTGATTCCTTTTAACCATTGAGCTTCATCATCCTGGTCTCTTGTGCGTCTTCGTGTGCGCAGAATTATGCTTAACATAAGTCCGATCAGTGAGAGGAATTCTATCTCTTCTGCCGTGTTTGACTGAATGGCTTTGTTTGGGTAAATGACGCGTGTTCCGGTACAAAAGTGGTGTGTCTGAAAACACAGTTCCGGTTACAAACCGGATTGAATTGTCCGCACATATTCCAGAATGTCTATCTGAAAAGGGTTTGAGAGGTACGCATGTTAACAGCTACTGCAGTAAAAGTTCCAGCCAAGCGCTCCGCACATTCTCCTCAACATTTCCTGAAAACTCCCGCTTTTTGTCTCGTGCTTTGTCCACAGCCTGGGCTATCAGCTGATCTGCTCCCACTAGTTCAGTCCAGTTAAAAGAAGTTCTGGGGTGACTGCTCTGTTAGCGTGCATCGTTAGGGAGCGCTGTCCTGCGGACTTTAAAGGTAGAAACAAGTGGACCTGAATCAGATAATGTTGTACCGTCACCCAACCAACCATCTGTCCATTCATCCATCCATCCATCCATCTGTGCTTCAATCCGTCCTTTCATCTCTCCGTCCATCCATGCATCTCTCTGTACATACATTTATCCATCCATCCATCAATCCATTCTTCCATCCAAGCATCCATCTGTCCATCCATCCATCCATTCATCCATCCATGCATCTCTCTGTACATACATTCATTCATCCATCCATCCATCCATCAATCCGTTCTTCCATCCAAACATCCATCTGTCCATCCATTCATCCATCCATCCATCTGTTTACCTATCCATCCATCCATCCATCCATCCATCCATCTCTTTATCCATCAATCCATTCCTCCACCTATCTGTCCATCCATCCATCTATCCATCTGTTCACCTACCCATTTGACTGTCTGTCCATCCATCCATCCATCCATCCATCTCTTTATCCATCTATCCATTCCTCCACCTATCTGTCCATCCATCCATCTGTTCACCCACCCATTTGACTGTCCATCCATCCATCCATCCATCTCTTTATCCATCTATCCATTCCTCCACCTATCTGTCCATCCATCCATCTGTTCACCCACCCATTTGACTGTCCATCCATCCATCCATCCATCCATCCATCTCTTTATCCATCTATCCATTCCTCCACCTATCTGTCCATCCATCCATCTGTTCACCCACCCATTTGACTGTCCATCCATCCATCCATCTCTTTATCCATCTATCCATTCCTCCACCTATCTGTCCATCCATCCATCCATCCATCCATCCATCCATCTCTTTATCCATCTATCCATTCCTCCACCTATCTGTCCATCCATCCATCCGTCATCCATCCAATCAGAACCTTCTATCCATCAGCTCTATTTGATGTCCCTCCAGGTTATGGTGCTCCTCACCTTATTTCTACGGCTGAGCCAGCAGACTCTTGTCTTTTTGATTTTTGTCTAGATTTAATGCCCACAGGTGAGAACAAAATGTTGAATGTGCACACTCACACACGTTTGGGTCAGATATGGAGGTTAGTTCAGACACACACACAAATAAACCACTGACCTCCAGCAGGAACTTCTCAGCCTCGGACGCTCTTCCAGCAGCAACACACTGGAAAGAAGCATTCTGACCAGCGTTGATCTCCTCGTCTCCTAATCTGGAGAAGTGTGGAGCCTTATCTGAAAACACAGGCCGGAGGGAGAAATGTGACCTGTCAAGGTTTTGTCATGGGTTTTTAAAATACAGGAGGAGATTTGAATCTTTTTACAAACGGTGCTTTGTTTGTAACTCACAGGACGACATAAATATTCACCTCAAGTGTGAACTAGTGAGACATTTTGTCAGCTACATATTTTATTTGATTTAATGTTTTTTTTCCAATCAAGACAAACGATTAGGACGAAAGATGAAATTGTACATTCTTTAATGTAACTTCACAATGAAATCTCCACTTTTGTAATTTGTAAAAAAATAAAAAATAAAAAAAGAAGAAGATTCTTCCTTCTAATTCATGTAAATTATTTCTTTTCAATTCTCAACCAACATTACACTCTTTATATTGCATCAACAAAGTGTGTCTTTTCGTATGTCCCATGAACGCACCACAGCAGAAACTCCCTACTTAGTGAACACGAAAATCCTTATCCACAGATGCTTATCCTGTCATGGAATCAGCTGCACGGAGCGACGCAACATTTTTGTATAGTTTTCTTTGTCAGTAGAGTAAAACATCTCGACGAAACGGGAGGTGACACACTGGAGGAGCACGGAACGTCTTGGCATTCCCCCAGAGGGGCTGACCCAAGTGGCTGGGGAGAGGGAAGTCTGAGCTTCCCTCCTTAGGCTGATGCCCCCGCAACCCGACTCCGGAGAAGAGGACGAAAATGGATGGATGGATGGTAGAATCTGCTACCAAGGACAGAGCGAAGCATCTACAAACATGTTTGCAACTCAAATGCCTGCAGAGGACACTCCAAACCCAGAGGGCACTGCTTCCTGGGAAGGTGGATTCCCAAAATTGTTTCAACAATTTTTGTTTCACCTATTTATGCAGGATCACTTCAGCTGCGAAGTGGATCGCTTACGGAATTTCCGCGCTGCCTGCTGCTCCTCTGTTTACACCAGGCGGGAATGTTGGACGAGCGCTTCTGCTCAAGCCTACTGTTTTCAAACCCCCCACCCCCAACCCTACTCCCATGCCCTTGCTGTGTGTGTGTGCGCGCGTGCGTGTGTGTGCGTGCATGCGTGCGTGCATGCGTGTGTGTGTGTGTGTGTGTGTGTGTGTGTGTGTGTGTGTGTGCGTAACCACTTTGCCCTGCTTGTTGATATCAGAAACTGCGCTGATCCTGCTGCTGTTTTCTAGACCAGTTCCTTTCTAAATGCTTAACCCTCCCACTGTCCTAATGGGTGTGACCCCGCAAGGAAAGTTGACCATTGAGCAGGGTTGATGGTTTATCCCTTGAGGTCCACGTTGCAGGGGTGAGGAGTGAGCACCACCTCACCCCTGCCACATGGACCTCAAGGGAGAAACCACCAACCCTGCTCAATGGTCAACTTTCCTTGCGGGGTCACACCCATTAGGACAGTGGGAGGGTTAAGTAAACGGGGCGATGGTGGCACAGGAGTTAAGTGGTCGCCCCGTAATCGGAAGGTTGCAGGTTCGAGCCCCACTCAGTCTGTCGCTGTCGTTGTGTCCTTGGGCAAGACATTTAACCCACGTTGCCGGCTGGTGGTGTTTGGAGGGACCGGTGGCGCCAGTGCTCGGCAGCCTCGCCTCTGTCAGTGCGCCCCAGGGCAGCTGTAGCTACATCGTAGCTCATCCCCACCAGTGTGTGAATGTGTGTGTGAATGGGTGAATGACTGATTGTGTTGTAAAGTGCCTTGGGGGTTCCATGACTCTAGAAGGTGCTATATCAAATACAGGCCATTTTTAAATAACCTTGTGTTTGTGGTAGTGAACCTACAGTACGACTGTACAGTTACCTTCGTTTTAAACATATTTGTTTGTATTTACGATTATTAAATCCATCTATTGCTGTAAAAACTTCCTGTAAAAACAGACGGATGCATCTGATGGATTCTGAAGAACAAATTCAAAGTGAAATCAAAGAGTTTTAAAGATGCTCAGCTGAACTGGACACTTGGAAGGGAAAGGTATTTTTGTGTTTTTAAGTCTAAACTATTGATTCAAGCTGAAGGATTTAAGGGGTAAAATACACACGTGTGTTTGTGTTCTTGTTTCTGCGTTAATGCCTGGGTTCCTTTTCAAATGTTTCACATTTGCATACACTCGGCCAAATTCAGCTGGGATGTTGTCAGAGTTTCATTCTGGGTTGGAAGTTTCTTCTCAGAGTGACTTTCTGCTGCCAATCTCTTTACTTTCCTATTTTAGACCCAGACGCTTTTCCTTAGATCTTCATACCAGGTTGGTAAAACCCTTACTTTCGCACCACTTAGTTAAAAGAGTTATAAAACTATTTGAAGAAACCCATCACAGGAATAACTTGCTAACTAACAGGATCAATCATCATGTAGGAGTTGATTTCCAGGAAGAAAAAAATCTACAGGGGGAGCATCAGCCCTCCACAGTTTGACTAATAATGTCCCAGCATGCCGAGCGAAGCTGCCAATGAGTCAGTGTGTGGGAGTAGCCCTCTCACCCAACTTTGTGATTAACAATAAAAGAGTGTGAAGCGGACCCCTGCGGAGCCAAATAACTGGTAAGTGCTGGCCGCGCTGCCAGCCGTCTCTGAAACTCCATGTAGGACACGATGCCGCGTCACTCCGGATGATTGACGGGAGACCGCAGAGCCACGGTGCAACCGAGGCGTCGGGGAGAAAAGGAAAATGTTTGGAGCTCACTCATCTCCGGCTTGGATTTTGTACTAAATCACGCGGGTTTCGAGCGGAGATGGAGATGAGTGTCTTGATCTGGGCTTTTGTGCAGTCTCAGTAAAGGGGGAAGCTTTTGCATTTGTACCCAACATGTGACCGTGTTTCCTTTGAGTGACGTCCCCTCCTGGGGATGACTCATTATTCATGCCCAAGAGGCAAACATACAGTAAACAAACAGTGAAATGAGCGTGCAAGGAGACGAGCACCCCCCACGGTTGGCTCAAGCTGCAGTGTTATACAGCTAAATGTGTCAGATCTTATCCTCAGGACTCTTTAGCGTGATAAATATTTCATTGAACTGCAACACTAGTTTCAGAGTCAGACTGCGACTGGAGAGGATACAACTGAAATGTCAACTGTGCATTAACCAGAATCCTAAATAGGAACGTTTTTGATCAGTAGACTCCATCTTTTACCAGGCTAACGCTAGTTTCTCCTGCACACTCCTGAGTGCCGAGCCATGCCGGCTGGCCATGTGCCACATCAGAAGGCGTGCTCAGGTCTTGATGAGCGTCTTAATTATTTAATGGTCACAGTGGGAGCAGTCAGAAGAAGCCATCTGTTGTGTCTGGGAGTAACGGGGTGGCCGACTGGGTGGTGCACACACGCAGCGAAGGGGCGACCCAGTCTCACAGCCGGTGTTGGTTCCTGAAAAAACACTGATAGCTTCTGCTGTATAACATGAGAAGTCCCAACCTCTCAGGATCAAACCGCCCCTCCTGACATAACGATCGTATCAATGTTAAAAAGGAAACAGCAGAGGTCCCCCTGAGAGGGAAGCATCTTCATGTAATCCAGAGGACGGCAGCATGGACCTTGGGAGTCAGACATGATGACAGGAGGCCTCGCATTCAGAGTCAGAGACATCCTCTTTGGCCAGATAAGCTCAGGTGTTTCAGTCACGCTGCTGTTCTACACAAGGTCCTCGGGGGGCTGACAGCAAACCAAACAGCTACACTCACAATAATAAAAAGTACCCTGAACAGAAACCCTTCCTCTACGCAACTGTGGTTCCCAACCTTTTTCCCAAGGGACGCCTTTTTTACCAGTAAAATTTTTGACGACCCCCTCCCATTCTCTCTTCCAGTACAAACATTATTAAGAAATGATAAAATTGTTCAAGCACATTTTAATATGCTTTGATTCAATAGATAACAGTAATAGTAGGCTCCAGTACAGAACAAAGTCATTAACAAAACCAAACAGAGCATAGTGTGCTTGACAGTTTGTATTACTTTTCTGAACACATTGTTTCTTGTAAACACTGATAAATCAATCATTCCTTTCAATAAACGTTTGACACATAAAAAAATACACTGAGCAAAATGTACTTAAATGTGTATATTACTGTTTATACTAGATTATTTACTGTAAACGCTGTGATTAATCAACCAGTCCTATCTTTAATGAACTTTTGACACTTGAAAATAAAACAGTGAGCTGAGCAAAATGTTCTTAAAAGTGTGTTACTTTTTCTGTACTAATTATTTCCTGTCTTAATATCAGTAAACTTTTCACTCATGGAAAAAAGTGAGCACAATGTAGGCTATGAACAAGTAATAAATGAAGTTTTAACACCTTAAAGTGGAGAGGTCCTGGCGACCCACTGAGAGGCTTTGGCGCCCCCTTGTGGGGGTCGGGACCCCCAGGTTAGGAACCACTGGTCTACGCAACTGTGCCAACAAGCTGCACCAGACTTCAGTGAGTCAGTCAGTTAGGAATTAAAGTGTTAAAAATCCCACAGATTACAGGAACATTTGGTTTTTTGAGGTTTCTGGGGAGTACCTCTGAGTGGTAAGTGTCTTACCTGCAGTAGGAAGTTGCCAGAGAGATTTCCGCATGGAGAATGTGGGATCATTTTTGGTGGATTGTTAAAGTAACACTAGACAGTCTCCCACTCCTCTATCCTACTAGTTGAAAGCGGAATTACAACGTTCATAAAGCATCCTGCTGTAGCCTGCCGTAGCTTGTGCTAACAATGAGCTAACGCTAACATGAGCCAATTAAGACTAAAATAAACAACTAAAAGATACTCACTGTTGGACAAAAATAGTATTACTTACAAGCGCAGTAGCAACAAAGCCAGGTCACCATCAGTCTTTGGTTTTGTCCAAAAGACGTTACTCTCTTACTTTTCCTTCCAGGCGTCGCCATGATGCCAAGAGTAAAAGCAAACTTCTTTTTCATCTTCTTGTGCTTTTTTATTTACGATCGGTGAACTGAGGATGCTAACCACTAGCATTGCAGATAACAACCATTAAGCAGGTAAAGAGCGCACCCTAGGAAACTTACCCGCTCCACAAAACTTATTAGGGGTGGTTTTTGATCAGCCGAGGGCTGCAGACTGGCTTTAAATATGAAACTGGTCAAGTTTCTAACTCAACAGTCACAGAGATCAATGTTGAAGCTCTAGCTTAAAGTTTTAAAATGTCCTCTAATCCAAGCATCTCATTTGAAAACTGTCTCAAGAAAATAACTCATGTTTCAGAACAAATGAGGTCTCTGTTTCCCTGTTCAAAAACCCTTTTACCTGTCGCCTGGTCCGACTCAGGAAGTGACTTGAAAACTCTTCTTCTTTGGTATGGCATGAATGCAGCCTATATTTTTTGCAGCTGTGTGATCTATGATCACTGGTATGAAGATTAAAGTTACAGGTGTTACCTCAGGTGTTGGACGATGTCATCTCTGCCCTGACGGTTTAAAAGCGCCAATGAGAACTCATCACTAAAGGTCAACTATATGACCCTAGTCCTAGTCCTGTTTAATACCGCTTTGAAACACATAATAGCTCTCTCATTTGTTACTGCAGTCAGAGGTGGCACTTACAACAGGGGTAGTTGAGCACCATGATGTCATCTACGGCGATGTAACCTCGTCGCTCCCTGGAAACGGTGGCCTCGATCAGCACCTGCAAAAGTGAGCAAGAGTGCACACTGAATAGAGCGGACCAACGACATACTTGTGAGTAACCTCGTGCTCATGTAGCAGCAAGCAGGAGAGCAATTCTCAACTCCGATTGCAGCGCAAATCCTATTTCTCTTGTTCCCCCTCGGTGACAGACGCATTAATTACAAACAGGCCCGTTTCACATCTGCTGACCCAAAACAAAAACCCAGACAAGAAGAGAAAAATAAGAGAAATTCAGAAGCGTCAACACGGAGATAGATAAGTTTCGTCTCAGTCCGCCGGGCCGTGGGAAATAATTGCTTTATCACGAAGCGCACATTGTGGTGGCTGAGTCACGAGCCCCATCGCAGATGCAGGGCGCAGGCTGCTGTGGAGCCATAACAGCAGATAATACGGCTCACGCAAGGCCACGGGACCCCAGAGAGGACAAACCTCCACTCTCCTATAGAACAATAAGCTCGATGAGCGGCGGGCTCTCATGAAACCTAATCAATATCAAATCACCACCCTCAGTAATAGTGAGAGAGTTATGAGACACGGGGGGTGATGTTTGTTTTCACAGCTCCAAGGACGCTCCACCATCCACGTGTTTGATCGCAGGCCAGCTTTGAGTTATTGTTTCTCATAATCTGAGAACCAAATGATTACAACATGGTTCCCATCACCGAGTCTTGATTTGTACACACACACACACACACACACACACACACACACACACACACACACACACACACACACACACACACACACACACACACACACACACACACACACACACACACACAAGGTTATATCTTTGTGGCTATTAAGGGTAAATCATGTAAATATATAAATATGACTGGTTTTATGCAGAGTTTCCTTAAACAAAATGTTCAGGGAGGAAAAATTAACAAATCCACCTTGAATATAAGTTTTCCTAAATATTTTAATACTTTGCAAAAACATAAAGTGTAGTTGTTCCTAAAAGATCTTCCTAAATGTGAAATAAAGAATATGTAAGCAAAAACGCCAGTAGATAACCGTTTGGCTCTATTCTCTTGCAGCCCCCGGCACGCCCTTTGGTCTGTGCCATCTTCTTTATTCTAGCTTTTCAGATCCCACGGTAAACAGATGTGTGGACAAACTAAGTGTTAAAGAAGAAAATCAGAAATCAGTTCAAAATCATTCAGTCATATTAATTATTTATTTATTATTTACTCTTTTTCTGCTGATGAAAAATGTGTTCTGTTGTCTGAGCAGAATTGTGAGACTGGTCCACTTCTGCACATGAAACGATGAACTGCACTGATGCGCGAGTCTGTATCTAACAAATTAAAGTAACCTCATTTTCTGAACCCGCCTGTCCATGTAATGCTGTGCGCGGGGGGGTGGGGGGGGGGGTGGGGGGGGGGGGGGGGGGTGTTGCACAAAGCATTGTGCAAATCTTCCATTTATTTTTTATTTTTGCGGTTTTTAGCTGGGCATTATTACATGCTTTTTCGGATAGGATTGTGTTCACAGAGCATTCCTTAAATCCACGATATCCAGACAAAAGCTGTTTATTCCATTCTGAGAAATGAGTGAGGAGTTTGATGCCTGGATCTTGGTCAAGTTGAGTTGAACATCTGAACATTTCTGTTTTTTTCTTTCAGGACCATCGGTGTCTGCCTCTTCATCAAATTCTAAAGGTTCCAAAGTTTGTTTCCGAGTGTATCCCACAAGAAATCAGGTCCATTCTCCAGGTTTTAGTGTTCAATAGTTTGTGAATTGAAACGGCTCTTGAAGTGATGTCAGCTGGATTTTCATTGGTGGGAATGCCACTGGTCTGGGTTTGATGCTTGTCCAATGATCGCAATTTGGTTTGTCACAAATGTTTGGAATCTTTTATTTTCATGGTTAAAGAGCAAGTCACCCCCTACCAGAGTTTTACTGCACTCCCACTTCCTGTTTGAAAAATGCAACAAATGCTGTTGCCTGTCAGACAGAAAGGGCGGAGCCACTAATAAATATACACACACACACACACACACACACACACACACACACACACACACACACACACACACACACACACACACACACACACAAGCTCACAACAGCATTGCGACATCATAATGTACCAGCTAATGTCATATGGTATCTCTTAGCCAATAGCAATGGCAGATTTAAATTCAAATGCAGTGCTGAGTTTTTGCCTTAAGGGGGCGCAACAACGACAGTTTTAGACAAAATATTTACATTTGATCTAAGATGCACTAAAGTGCCAAATTATCGACTACATGTGTCTACAGCATGATTAGACACTCTACAGTTCATCAGCAAAAAGAATGTTGATTTAGGGGTGACTTGCTCTTCAGTGTCATTGAGAATTGTGCAACTGTTCAACCAAATGTAAGATTTTTCACATTGAAGTTGGAACTCGGCCTTAATCACTTTGTCAACTTGTGTTGCTCCAACAGCCACAGCAACTCCAATCGGGGTGGGGTTATGATTGACTTAAGAGGCGCTACACTGGCTTTACTAAACAGACAACACATTCTCAAACCCAAGGAGTCAAAATATGACGCGTGTGACCAAGCCTCAATATATGATGAATCGGGACCCCCCAGCGCGTCAGGAGACGACGATCAGGGACAAACAGCTGTCGCAGCGTCGGTATGCGACGCCGGTGGTGAGACGGACATTAGAACTACTTGTTAACTACTTAACCTTCCCCTCACCCCAATCCTAACCTTAAGGTCACAGTTTATGGACCTTAAGGTTAGGATTGGGGTGAGGGGAATGTTAATTACTTGAATAATGTCCGTGTGACTGTGCGCGTCAACCAGTGACGCCAGCGGAGCCACGTGACCCAGTGTGTCCCTGATCGTCGTCTACTGACGCGCTGGGGCATCCCGAATCGTCATGTATTGACGCTTGGTCACACGCGTCATATTTTGACGCCTTGGGTGTGAGAATGTGTCGAAACAGAAAAGAAACATGTGGCTGTCCTGGCTGGTTTTCTAGAGTGTGACATATCCGTAACTGTTGGCATCCGCAAAATTATTAAGTTGAGTTTAACAGGTGATGAAAACCCGAGTTTCATGCTTCTTACTGCATTAAATGCAGGCAAGACTTCCAGCTCTGATAGCCATTTGATCCATTGGTGCTTTATCTGTTGAGGGATTTTATTGTCCTAGTCATGATTTATCTGGGCCAGCTCTTGCAGAAGAAGTTTAAATTGAAGTATTGCTGGGGCCAGACAGCAGTTGGACAGATGGTCTCACATTTGACCATTTGAGAATAATTTAGTTCATAGACAGCTGGAAGGAGCTGTTTGTGCTGGGGCATTTTGGGTAAACCTTTACTTTAATCTGATCGGTGTACAGGATAATGCTCCAGAGTTCTTCTGGTTCATTCAGATGAGACCTGATGTTTTTTTGTTTGTTTGTTTTAGAGAGAGACGGTCTTTTTGTCATTTTACTGCCACAACATTTAAACTTTAAATCAAAATCAAATCAAATCACTTTTATTGTCACGTCACATGTGCAGGTAAACTGGTACAGTACATGCAAGTGAAATTCTTGTGTGCGAGTTTCACAGCAACAGAGTTGTGCAAAAATACAATAACGTAAAAACAAGTAAAATATAAAAATGGCTAATCTAAGTAATAATATGTATAAGTTGTATATACATTACTAAATGTTTATGCAAGTATATTATTATTTTTTTTATATATTTTAATATACTTTAATCTGCTGGCTGAGGTCTGTAGAGTCTGATCTTGGGTTGAACTTGGAGGGACATCGTCCCCAGGGAAGATTTGCACCTGTCTTACACATTTTCCTCTTATTAATCTATGACCATTCAGCTTCAGTTTGAATTATCACCAAACCCAATGAATGATGGACTCCAAATTGCTTGGAAATGACCTTTAACCTATTTCAGAAGGAGAGTTACTTCTCTAAGGTCCTTACTGATGTTGGGTTAACACACACCTGTATGCTCCAGACCAGCAAACCCTAATTTTACAGTGGTGCTAACTTTGATGGTCATTGGTTTATTAACACAATCTGACTGATTCTTTCTGTCTTAAATCCAGTGGAAGCAGAAAAGGTGGCTCTGCTTTGGCTTCGTTTTTGGTTAATAGTGACAGGTTTGAGTCTGTCTAGTGTTTTAGACCTGAGATTAAATCTGGATAATCTTCTTTATTCTGATACGTTACAAAGTTGGACTTTCTTTTTACCTTGACTCTAGTTGTTTCTCATCATAAAAAATCTGACACACACACACACACACACACACACACACACACACACACACACACACACACACACACACACACACACACACACACACACACACACACACACACACACACACACACACACACACACTATGTTCACCATTATAATCCTCCCAAATGGGTCACAGCAAACTCCTCATGACCTCTGGCCCCCCTTCCAACCGATACATGGCACAGCCAGAGTCCACCTCTCTGGACTAAGAGTGGGAAGATCGTTCTGACAACAAACCCGGCCGTGCGTGACCCCTGAAGACACCTTCACAGTCAGATCATGGAGCGGTGTGAGGAGGATGAGGTCAGCTGTATAACTCTGAGCAGCAGAGTGAAAATGGGAGAGAGCAAGAAGGGAGGTCAAAGGAAGCGCTGGACATGGCCGCTGGGGTTCCTGCCATCTACGGCTGGTGACTCTGCTCACAGAGGAACACTGAGGGTAATCTCCTTCTGCCACAGTCAATTCTTCTGTTTGTTCCCAGCCACGAGCTGGAACTTAAGCTGTAAGGCGCCACCGCATTTAACCAGTGATTTTAACATTTCCTGTTTCCATCATTCCCCTCAAGTTGTCGATTTCCCTGTGCAACAACGACTTCTCCATTTTGTATTTATTTCCTGGATGGTCTGAATCTGTTTTTTATTCCTTGCAGCATTCACCCCTTTCCTGTGTTTTCCAAGCATATGCATATAAAATAAATAAGAGTAATGATTAAAGCACAATTTACCTGAGGATGCTGACCTGAATT